GAGCTATGCATCTGGAGGTAATCCTGTTAAGGGTCTAGTTTCCTGTAGATTTTAAATAGTAACATTCGAAGGATGATAGTGGTCACTTCTGCCTAGCAGATTTTTGTTAGCTTTGTCCAGTGAAGAAAGGCAGGAAATGTCTGGAAGGAATACAGTGGTATGGTGACTGTAGCACCCTGCATGTTTGTGCTTTGCCATCTATGTAGGCAATAAATAATCATGAAATGAACACCACACCTGCAATTTAGATGAAAACTATTGATCTCTGTAATTCATCTTCTTGCTAATCACAAACAGTTTGAAGCAAATTCAGCTGTATGGGTCTATTCAGCTCAGCCACATGTCTATATTCTAGCACATGAGTAGAGATAACACGACTAGTCCTATAAAGTTTTGCCTCTCCCTTAAGTGTCTTGCCAAAGCAGAACTTAATCCCCACAGAAAAAAATGTTTACTTTATTTAAATACATCTGTACAATGGACTTGGTGATATTCCCGGAATCCGTCACTTTGGCAAATTTAGATAATCAGTAGAAATAATTTCACAAGAAAATCTGCCTTTTTGCAGGTTTTATAATCTTGCTTGGCTTATAGAAATAATATTTTATTTCAAAAAAGTGTGCAGAAACAGATATTTGTATTGAAATAATGCCTTTCTTGCCTCAACCTCACAATGCCTACTTCAGGCTTTCCATGTATCAGTACATGGTAGCAAAATCTGGGGGGAATAAGTGCTATCCAAGATGAAGAATTTCTTTAGGGATTGCTTAAGGAATTTGAATATAAACAGGTTCACAGTCCAGAGGTAATAACTCTAAGGATGTGAGAAGATCCATACAATGCCATTGTAAGCCTGTCCTTTTTGAAGTAGGTTGGAAACAGTCCTCAATGACTTGAAGATAAATCATAGAATGGTTTGGCTTGGAAAGGACCTTAAGATCATCTGATTCCAAACCCCTGCCATGGGCACAGACACCTCATACTTGACCATGTTAGCCAAGGCATTGTCCAACCTGTCCTTGAACACTGCCAGGGATGGTGCCTTTACCACTCCCTTGGGCAACCTGTTCCAGTGCCTCACCACCCTCACAGTAAAGAACTTCTTCCTTGTATCTAACCTGAACTTCTCCTGCTTAAGTTTGAATCCGTGTCCTGGATTCAGCAGTAGCAGTCATTTTTCTCCTTCTTAGTAGCTGGTGCAGTGCTGTGTTTTTGACTTTCAGCCTGGGAACAATGCTGATAACACCAATATTTTTAGTTGTTGCTAAGTAATATTTGCTCTGACCAAGGACTTTTTGAGTCTCATGCTCTGCCAGGGAGGAGGGGAAGTCAGGAGGAAGCAGAGACAGGACACCTGACCCAAACTAGCCAAAGAGGTATTCCATACCACAGCATGTCATGCCCAGTATATAAACTGGGGGCAGTTACCCGGAAGGGTGAGATCACTGCTCGGGTCAGGCTGGGTGTCAGTTGGTGGGTGGTGAGCAGTTTTATTCTCTTATGTTGTTATTTCCCTTATCATTATTATTATTGGTGGTAGCAGCAGTGGTTTTGTGTTATACTTTAGTTACTGGACTGTTCTTAGCCCTTGGGAGTTACATTCTTTTGATTATCCTCCCCATCCCTCCGGGAGGAGGGGAAGAAGGGAGGGGAGTGAGCAAGCAGCTGCGTGGTTCTGGGTTGCTTGCTGGGCTTAAATCACAACAACCCATTACCCCTTGTCCTATCACTACAGTCCCTGATGAAGAGTCCCTCTCTCTGGAATCCCTGTAAGCCCCCTTCAGATACTGGAAGGCTGCTATGAGGTCTCCACGCAGCCTTCTCTTCTCCAGGCTGAACAGTTCCAACTTTCCTCTTCCTGTCTTCATATGGGAGTTTCTCCTGCCCCCTGATCATCCTCATGGCCTGCTCTGGACTTGCTTGAGCAGCTCCATGCCCTTCTTATGTTGAGGACACCAGAACCGTGTGCAGTTCTCCAAGTGGGGTCTCACAATGTTTTACACTTCTTTGAAAAAAAGGCAAGAAGGAGGATTTGGTAGCCTCACTTCAAACTCCAGATGAATAGCAAACATGTGCAGATGGTGACTGGAAACAGAAGGTGAGAAAAAAGCCTGGTTGGATGTTTCGGCTCACAAGATACTGGTCAACGGTTTGAAACCAAACTATCAGCTAGTTATGAGTGGCACACTTAGGGGTCACAACTGTCATGGAAAATGTCCAACAGCATTCTCAACATCCCAGCCAAAGAGATGAAATTAACCCTCAGCAAGTTTTAAAGGCACAAAGCTGGTGGCAAGAGTGAGAAACTGATAAATTGGAGGGCAGGCCTGTCACTTAGGGGGACCTGAGTAGGTAGGAAAAATGGGCCAACAGGAACCTTACAGAGCATCTCAGGGAAAAATGAACATGATTTTAACACCCACGATATAAGTGTTCAAACAGTTTAGTCATGCTGTATTAAAACTCTTAATGCATGCAAAAAAAAAAAAACAAACATGCACCTGATTCCAGAACTCTGAAGAAGATTATTTTGGAAATGTTGGTCTGTTTCCTTCACAGCAAATCAGGATACAAGATTATCAAATATTCAACACCGTAAAAATGCCTGATATTCCAAAGTGCTCTGTTTCACTTTAACTCAGCTGGAAATTGAGCACTTTTTGTAAAAGGGACGAAGATGAAACAAAGAGGAATTGTGACTGACCAGCAAAAGCAGAACTGATAAGATAAATATCATAAGTACAAATATAATTAAACTTAACTTCACCCTTTGCTGCTGCTGCTGTCTTGGTTATCCTTTGGTTGCTTGCCTTTATTTAGATCATCTCCTATGAGGATGAGGAAAAATGAAGGCTGAACAGGAAAACAACACATCATTATAAAATTTTGTCACAAACATGCAATTAATTGCTTATCAGGGAAGAGGGAGTGAAGTCACAGCTTCACATTTTGGCTGAAACCTAAACTGCAAAATAGAAAGTATCATGCATCAAAGACACAGGGGGTTGATCTTTTCAATTCTCTGTTATTAAATTTATTAAAAAAAAAAAAAAAGAAACAAACCCTTTCAAACTTGTTATCATTGATGGTGACCCAGATCTCTGTAGGTACCAAATTAATCATCAGCACTAGTGGTTTCCTGTCTTATAGGTAAGGGCTATGTAATTCTTAGATCCTCCGATGTTCAGTTTCACTTCATTTTTGCACAGTTAACGAAACCATTTATGTTGCTTTCTACAGAAATGCAGATATTTACATCTTTGTTTTGCATTTACATTGTTTCAATCAGAAGGGTGAACTGAGTTCTGACTTGTACTTGTCCTGTCCCCAAGCTGTTGTGATTTTACATTTCACTTCCATGTGTGATTAATCATATTAAAATTTTCCAAGAAGTAACTTTGATCCCATGTCAAATAGGTAAATGATATCTTTACAAAAACACTGAGCCTGTAAAATGGAATGTATTTCCTTTTCTTTTTTTTTTCTTTTTTAGTGAGCAGCCTATTTTCTGACCCATAATAATGAAGATTTACACTCATCTTAAAAAGTAGACCTAATTTTTCAGAGGCTTAACATGATTAGCAGGACACAGCATTACAGTCTTTCTGAACTGAAACATCCTCAAAGGAAAATAAATGTTAAAAGATAGCCAAATTCTCTACACAGGACAATATTTTCTGAGATCATCACACCAGTGGTTGGCATTACAATATGCTGCCTACTCAGTCTTTGTGCCAAATGTGACTTGTAATAGAGAAAAAGATCAGCTTCTATAAACAAGAAAATGTTTGATTTAAAGAACTTGTTAAAAGGCCCACTGAGAGACTTTATCTTTCCTGCATATTTAATCTCCTTGGAATCTACCATCTGTATGTCACAATACCCTAGCAGATAAGTGTAGATATTTTAAACATCACCTTAATTAGAAAGAAAGAAACAAACAAAAAGCACAAAACCAAAAATAAACCAAACAAGCCAGCAGCCTGAAAGTTGTTTAACGTTTCTTACTTCGAGTTAATACATTTTGGAAACTCAAAACTAAATTCTATACAAGACAGTGATAGTATGTGGGGAATTCTGAGAATCCCAGCTCACATTTTACTGACATCTTGAATAGTATTATATTTTTGCTAAATTTTGTTGTTTGCTTTTTTGGTGGTTTAGGGGTTTTTTTAATGCATCTGAATATAAAACAAACTTTGTCTAGGCACATGTATACATCTTACTTTGTATTGTGATATCCTGTGCCCTGTTGAATTAGAGAAGCCTGCAGCTGTCTAGAGCTTAATTATGTATGAATGCTAAGCTGAGATGGTTGGCCAATAATGCTTTAGCAGAGTATGGTTTCTCACTTGTTTTTCTTTGAATTATAAATGTGCAGGTTTGTATTTCCCAAACCATTTTGCCCCTTGTGTATGTTCTTCCTTGCTTCTGTTGCTTTTGTTTGAACCAGCTTCTGAACAATCTTTTTGAATGTGAAGTGTCTATTAGATCTAAGATAGGTAATTAATGGATTTGACAAATCCTTTCACCTTTTAGACAGTTAAAAAAGGTACAGTAATTAGTCCCCTTCCTTATCAGTTCTACTCCAGATGGTGTTGGGGGGAGCTTTCTTTCTGTTTTTAATGAATAGTTAAATAGAGGCAGGCATCTGGGTAGTATCAAGCAATAAAGTGCTACACCTGCTGAAAGTAAGGTAATAGATGCACTGAAAGGGAAGGTAATAGATGCACTGGAAGCACATTTGTAGCCACAATTACCCTGTATAAAAAGGCTTCTGTCAATTGTTGTTAAGAAGACATAGGTGGTCAATCTGCAAAGTCAACAAATAACATTGCCTATCATTTCATATGAATAGCACAATAATCATAGAATCATAGAATAGTTAGGGTTGGAAAGGACCTTAAGATCATCAAGTTCCAACCCCCCTGCCATGGGCAGGGACACCTCACTCTAAACCATATCACCATATCAAGGCCTCATCCAACCTGGCCTTGAACGCTGCCAGCGATGGAGCATTCACAACCTCCTTGGGTAACCTATTCCAGTGCCTCACCACCCTAACAGGAAAGAATTTCCTCCTTATATCCAATCTAAACTTCCCGTTTCTAAGTTTAACCCATTATCCCTTGTCCTATCACTACAGTCCCTAATGAAGAGTCCATCCCCAGCATCCCTATAGGCCCCCTTCGGATACTGGAAGGCTGCTATGAGGATTTCCCCTTAGTGAAGCCATGCTGCCTGTCACAAAGCACCTTGTTTTTCATGTGCCTTAGCATGCCTTCCAGGAGAATCTGCTCCAAGATTTTGCCAGGCACAGAGGTGAGACTGACTGCTCTGTAATTGCCCAGGTCATCCATTTTCCCCTTCTTGAAAATGGGGGTTATATTTCTCTTTTTCCAGTCATCGGGAACTTCACCTGACTGCCATGATTTTTCAAATATGATGTCCAGCGGCTTAGCAACTTCATTCACCAGCTCCTTCAGGACCCGCAAATGGATTTCATCAGGACCCCATGGACTTGTGCACGTTCAGATTTTTAAGGTGGTCTTGAACCAGTTCCTCTTTTACAGTGGGCCCAAGGTCTCCATTCTCACAGTCCTTACATCTGCCTTCCAAGACTTGGGTGGTGTGGTCAGAGCCTTTGCCAGAGAAGACCAAGGCAAAGAAGTCATTCAGAATCTCAGCCTTCTCCAAATCCTGTGTAGCCAGTTCACCCGAGAGCTTCCAGAGGAGGCCTACGTTCTCCCTAGTCTGTTTTTTATTTGCTATGTACCTGTAGAATCCCTTCCTGTTATCCTTAATAACCCTAGTCAAGTTTAATTCTAACTGGGCCTTAGCATTCCTAACCTGGTCCCTAGCTTCCCGGACAACATCCCTGTACTCTTCCCAGGCTGCCTGTCCTTGCTTCCACTTTCTATAAAACTCTTTTTTCATTTGAATTTTCCTCAGCAGCTCCTTATCCATCCAAGGAGGTCTCCTGGCCCTCCTGCTGCACTTCCTTCTAGTTGGGATGCAACACTCCTGAGCTTGTAGCAGGTGATCCTTGAAGACCAACCAAGAGTCTTGGGCCCCCCGGCCCTCTAGGGCTATATCCCATGGAACCTTAATAAGCAGGTTCCTGAAGAGACCAAAGTCTGATCTCTTGAAGTCTAGGGCAGTGAGCTTGCTGCACGCTCTTCTCACTGTCCTAAGGATCTCAAATTCAACCATCTCGTGGTCACTGCATCCAAGGCTGCCCAGGAGTGTCACATTTCCAACGAGCCCTTCCCTGTTGGTGAGCACGAGGTCAAGCATGGCACCTTTCCTTGTTGGTTCCTCTATTACTTGCAGAAGGAAGTTGTCTTCCACACAACCGAGGAACCTCTTGGACTGCTTGTGGTGGGCCGCACCGTCATTCCAACAGATGTCAGGGTGGTTGAAGTCACCCATGAGAACGAGGGTCTGTGAGCGTGAGGCTTTTCCTATCTGCCTACAGAGTGCTTCATCCGCAGATTCCTCTTGATGAGGTAGTCTGTAACAGATCCCCACAGTAATGTCTCCCATTGCTGTTTTTCCTTTAGCCCTGACCCACAAACTCTCCTCTAACTGCTCACCTGTCCCCAGACGGAGCTCAATACTCACCATGATCACTTATCCCTAACATAAAGGACAACTCCCCCTCCGCGCCGGCCAGGCCTGTGTTTTCTAAAGAGCCTGTAACCTTCCATTCCAACAGTCCAGTCATAAGAGCCATCCCACCATGTTTCTATAATGCCTATTATATAATACACCCATAGACGTACACACATGTCTATTTCCTCTTGTTTGTTCCCCATGCTATGGGTGTTTGTATAGAGGCATCTGAGCCCAGCTCCAAAGGAAGCTAGCTCATTGGCTGGAGTGGCTGGAATATCTCTGCATTGCTCTGAGCATTTATTATAGGTGCTGGCAACTGACTGGGTGTGTTGGGATGGAATGATGCTCCCTTCTCCCAACACATCTAGTTTAATATTTCCAAGAACCCTGCATAAAACTTGTTCTCAGGAGGTAAACATCTAGGTTGCTGTTCTGGTTTTTGTTAGGTTTACAATATCAACTCCTGTACATTGTAAAACGCACTTTTTAAGTCAACATCTGCATGCACCACCCTTTAGAAATGCACAGCCATAAATACGGGGACATTCAGAGAAAACCTAGAGGAAGATAGCTATGCCCTTGTGCTGACTGTCCTAATTCCAGGAAAATTAATCCCATTTGGGATGTGAAAAACTGCTGTTGTGAGCAATGCAAACCTAGAAGAAGGTGCTGCTCCCATAAAATAGTACTTACACAGCACTACCTGAAGGGTTGCTGACAAGGAAGAGTGTTTATTTTCCCACCATTGTCTTCAGATTTAAATGCTGATACACAGAGGATTATTGCCCATTAACTTTTTTAAAGGTACAGAACCCAGCTATCTTCCCTCTACCATGATTGCAGTACAGCCATTAGAGCCTTATTGGCAAGCAGGGTTACTTTACACCCCATTTAATTTTGTAATGCAGTTCTGAAGATAGCTGGGGATATTCAAAGCAATCAAAGCAGAGCAGATCTCTGTCTCCCTACTTTCCTCTTCCCCAGGGAGAGTTTTGTGTGACAGAGAGCTCACACAGAGCCCACCATGCTGCTGCCTGCCTCCTTCCCTTTCCCTCATTTACCTTAGGCACAACCTGTGCCTGGGAGAAGGGCTGTCCTATGGCTCTCCACTGCTGGTTCAAATTGCTCTCCAAGTATTGCCCAGTTGCTTTCCTCTGGTACAGAAAACTGTTGGCATGAGCTGGAGTCCAGGTACTGCTTAGGAACAGTAGCCTTCATTAAAGTTTCAGCACATGGGAAACTGGAGTTGCTGCTAATAAATGACCACTGTGCCAAATGGTTCAGCATTTTGCCACTTGATTCTCTGTGGATTGAGCTCTGTTTTAACACTAATTTAATGTGATTTTAACACTGACCTGGATGTGAACAGGATCAGGATTTTCTTTTATATCTCTTTCTTAGATGCTAGCACATCACGTCAACCAGGTTTCTGGCAAGGTCTTCTTATACCTGCAGGTGTTTTTAAATATGTATTTTAATGGAATATAAAAGGATCCTTTTTTTTTTTTTTTTGTTCATAATGTATGAACATTATGTGTCAGGGCCCTGCTGGCCCTGACGCATACTGTTCAGCATATGTCTTACAAGGGACTGCAGGGTAACTAATATTCACAATAGATAAGGGCTGTTTTCCACAGTGGATGATGGGAAAATGATTGGGTGTGTAAAGGGCAATTCCTTGCCCTCTTGAAATTTGAGGCCCAGGAAGACAGAGTTTTTGTGTCTCTATTTTAAAAGGCCTGAAATCCATTTACACATCAATGTCAGCTCCTGCTAAAGAAAGCCAACACTGTTGATGTTATGCTTGTCAAACACAAACAATTTCTTTTCAAGGGAAGACATGTGCAAAGCTTCTTGTCCACTAAACAGAGCACATTAAATATGACCCTTTCTCTGGGCACATGTACACTAGCCCAAGAAAGCACAGGAGATACATAATTAATATTAGCTAACACACACTAAGGTTAATTATTGCTTCTCTGAGCACTTAATCTGCAAGCAGTTGATAAATCTCACAATGAATAAAAGAGGCTCGTATTTAGGTCACACAAAGTCATTGCTGTTTTTTAATTTAAACTGTGCACTAGATTAAAACACAAGAGTATTGCAGGAGGGCAATTCAGAAGCAGTAGCAATAGGCTGCCGTTTGGTGTAAAAAGTTTCCCCAGCACACCCTAGGGACATGTTAATCAAAGCTTTTTAATGGATTCAGTCTGATCTGTGACAGGCTTTGTTCCAGAGATGGCTTTTGCAGGATAGAGCTGCAAGTTATCAATAAGACACAGTAATTTCTGAAAGTGATTGAGCCTCTTTCCTTAGGCTTCATACCATTCACTCCTTTTTATTATCAGTCAAGGCCAGAGATGTCTTGCACTAGGCAGTCAAGTGATGGCTTGTTTCTTTCTTCAATCCTAAATCATATAATAAAAGAAAATGAAGCAAAATGAAAATTTGCATTAATTAAAAAACATGTAAAACTCATTATTGTTTTTCCCCGGCTATGTTTTATATTATTTTTGCCAGCATTTAGTGGCAATTTTTCAGCCTCTAGCATGTACTGATAAATCCTTTTTAAGCAGTCAAAGCCTTTCACTGCTTGGTTAAAGGCTTCAGGTCATTCATTGACTTTTCTTTATTAAGTTACTCATTATCTTTTGGAAATCAAAGCATTGGCACAATCAGTAATGACTAGGGATAACATCATCTACACGGATAGTTAGCCCTACATCCATTTAGGAAAGATAACTCCCAACACTGAAATGAAAATTCTTCAGTTCTATTCAAGAAGGTAATAGAAACCCAACATTTTTATATAGTGAAAGGTCATAATCCTTCCTTTGTAGCGCCACGGTCATTCCCATAGCAACAGCTTATACCTAAAACCACTAGGGGTTATGACCTCTCAGTATGAACAAACAGAAGGAAAAGTTGTTTAGAAAAGAAGAAATCTCTTTCATTAGTAAAAGGCAACACCAGCCAACCTCCTGTGTGTGCACACATAAGAAAACCCGTACGTAGCAGATAGATTGATTTTTTTTTAAAGCACAAATGGACAATAAAAAGATAGTTAAAATCAGTTTTGCTGTTATCAATCAAGGTTTGTTTTGTGCAGTAACCAAATAGACTATAGGAGATTCTGGTCACTGAATTTTTTTGGTTGTTTTCCTGATGATATGTATTATGTCATTATTTTCTACTTTTTTTAAGGTGCAGTTCTGGTAGTAGGCATCTGGGCAAGAGAGATCAAGGTGCATGAGCTGTATTATACTGGGGCACTGGGAATATAACTTATGACCAAACCATGTACCTTCTTTGCTTGTCTGAGGTAAAACCATAAGGCAAATACCTATGTATTATTTCAAACTTTAGCCTCAAAACTACAGTTTACTTCTTAGTGCGGCTTTTGTTGTAGGTATCTAAAAGGCTCAGACATTTATTTTTAGTAAAAATACTGAGTTTT